ACGACGACGACGACGACGACCACCAGTAAGACAGCTGTGCTTGCTAGTTTTGTTGTCGTTTGTTCCAGTGCCGGCAAAGCCTCGTCCAGGCAGATGACGAGGGTCGCCTGCCGAAGCTGCAGTCGCAGGCTTTCGCCCGGAATTGACCAGGGTTTTCTTGCTTGGGTTGGCTTCGTTTGTTTGCAGGCCTGGCATTTTCCGGTGACGGGAGTTCGTTTTTTCTGGACGTCGCGGACGATATCTAAGATGTAAGGTTTAGGGGTTGAGGGTTAGGGACGTCAATAGAAACTCATGTTCGAGCTCACTCTTGAAGATTTTCGTGCTTGGGTTTTTCTTATCCTGACGTTGTGTGGCTTTTCGGGTGTGAGCTCTGGGGATTCCAGTCAATGTGCTCGTCGGCTGTATCTGCTGGGGGGAAACTCTTGGGTTTCGGGCTTGGTTTCAGGGCCGTGGGAAAGAGGCGACTCAATGCGCCGTCAGGGCAACACCTAGCTACTTGGAGGATCATGGGACTTAGTAACTAGGGTTATAAATAAGGTAACTACAATTATAACCCCAATTAGGGTACCTATAACCTTACTTACTAAGTCCCATGATCCTCCAAGTAGAAGAACAGAGAAGGCCGTCCCCACGCCACTCTCCACGGGCAGGTTTGGCTCTCCATCTACAACTTAGTGATGGACGCTGAGTGCAAGCCCCGGAGTTGGCCTCAAACCTAATGTAGGGGCCTTAATAGTTAGAATAGGGTTCCTTTAAAGGGTTCCTTTAAAGGGTTACTATAAGGGCGACTATAAGGGAATTAGGATGTAGGGGCCTTAATAATGAGAATAGGGTTCCTTTAAAGGGTTCCTTTAGAGGGTTACTATAAGGGCTACGAAAAGGGTTTAGGGTGTAGGGGCCTTAGTAATTAGAATAGGGTTTTGGGGTCCAGTATATCATAATTATAGCAAAGAGCCACCAGAATAGTATGGGTAACTATTTAGGTAGCATCGAAGCTGTAAGAGCTCCTTTTTGATGGGTGTTCTGCGAGTTGAGTACAGAGGCCTGAATAGTTGCCCAAACTATTCTTTGGGGGTTCCTTCTGACCTGTATAGAAACCCTTATCAGAAACCCGAATGCAGGCCCTAAACCCTAAACCCTAAACCCTAAACCCTAAACCCTAAACCCGGGGTTCCTTCTGACCTGTATAGAAACCCTGATCAGAAACCCGAATGCAGGGGTCGGAATAGTTCGTGAAGGTCTCCGCTCATAGTTCCTTTCCTAGTCCTACTCTAATTGCGAAGGGATCGAAGACTTAGTTAGGCCTTAGGCTTTCAGGAGCAGGGTGTATGGAATGTTGGGCAGAGTAATGGATGAGGTGTCCCCTGAGCTGGAACCCTTAAGCCTGAAGCCTCAGGTGCCGTGCCCGCTATGAGTTGACCTCCTTCCGGAGAGAAAACCTCCTGCGGTTGAGGAGATATATCAACGAGGCACCCAGCAAGTTTGGGCTGAGTGAACCCTCGCCGTGCAACAAACCCCCAGCTCCTTTGAGATGTTTCTTTTGTGTAGGTTGAGCCGCGGATTGCTTGTTGTTTGAAGCATTGGCGGTGCTGGTCGAGTGGCTCCCTATCCACAGGAAGCATACGCAAAGCCTTGGTCCTGGTATTGAAATCGTTGGCAATTTTTTTGAAGACCCAGAGAAGCCTGAATCCACATCCCAAACACCCCGACTCCAGATGCACAAGTCCGCTTCCAGTTCGATTTCTGGCATTGTCGAGATGAGCGCTGTCTTTGTTCACCTCACTTCCGCCGTATTGCTAGGTTATCAGCACTACAGTTGGTCTTATAAGTCTTATATGCTGTTCGCATCTTGTTCCTGCTACTACTCCTCTGTCCATTTATGTATGTTCAGTGCTCTTCTGTTACATCTCGCAAGGTCTTTGTTAGTTCGTGGCCTTCTCACGTCCCACTGTCGCAAGCTCAAATGCACTTGGGGGTTTCCGAACATAGGGGACCCTAATATAGTACCCCAAATAAGAGGATCCTGATTATAAGGACCCCAAAATAAGGTACCCTAATTTTCGGAAACCCGCACTTGGTTTTGAGCCTTCCAAGCCGTCAGCACTTGCTACATGCGTTGGGCACTGCTGGAAGGTGGTGGTCGACCAGCTGCCTCCACTGACGAACCTGCACCGGGCATTGGAGGCCATGCAATATTGGGTGGGCGAGTTGGTTGTCATTATACCTGCCCTTACAACTCCGACTGAATGTAACCACAACATACCCCCGAACCCTATTCTTGTTATTAAGGCTCTTTTCCACGAGAGCTCCATGCTTTCTTTGAGACAGACTAGTTCCACAAGCTATTGCAACGTAATGGTCATCGCCGCAGTAAGCGTAGTATGTATGTATGTATGTGTGTATGTATGTATGTATGTATGTATGTATGTATGTATGTATGTATATATATATATACATCGAGAGTGCTAGGGATCTGGGGTGCAGTTAATGTTGGCATGTTCAAGGCAGTTTAGGGCTCTGGCTGCAGCAACAGGTGCCTGATGAGTTATAGGGCTCAGGGCGTCACATCCTAGAGTTTTGAGTTCACAGCTCCGGGATAAGGCTTCCAGCCCAAGATGTGTCCAGACCCGACGGGAGCCACGATAAGCAGCACGACGAAGGTGCCGCTCCAGCCTTTCATGAGTTGTTTGTCTGTTGGAGTCCATGCTGGAATCTGTATGAAAGACGGTGACAAGCAGTTCTCCGTGCAGGAGCTCTCCATTTCCGGTCAGTTCACCGGCGCCGGGGATGTGGCGGGCGACTTAGACAAATGTTCACAGTCGGGGGACTTCGCAACTTCTCGATTGCTGTTTGCACGACTAGGGTTTGGGGTGCAGGATTTGACGGTTTCAAACTCGGTTCGAAGCAATATAGGGGCCTAAATAAGTACCTGTATTATTTTGCGAGTTCCTTATTGTACTTATAGTATACTAAAGCAAGTGTAATGCTGTCTGGTATTGGTACTCCTCGTAAGTCCTTTCTTTACGATTGGTAGCCCTGTCGCTACTATGAATCATTGTCGTTGTTGCTTTTTCATTTTAGTTCAAGGCAACTGCTTCCCTAAACCCTAAACCCTAAACCCTACCAGGAAGAACTGGAGTAAGATTGAAGGTGCCAGGGCTGAATGCCGAGCCCTGAACCCAGCAGTTGCAAGTAATGCAGGGGCCTCAAGAATTACCTATACCATTCTGGGGGTTTCTTATTATCATTATAGTATAATGGGCCCCAAAACCCTATTCTAGTTATTAAGGCTCCTATATTAACCCTCAGCACCAATCTTTGTCCTAAACTCTCCACCCCAGACCCGTTGCCCCACTCCCTATTCTAGTTATTAAGGCCTCTATATTACATGAGCTGACACTCGCAAGCGCACCCAGGCTCCCACACCCTTCGTTGTCGAGCTCGTGGCCGAGGACCGTGGCTAGGGTTTGGGGGTTGTTTAAGGTTTAGGGTTGAGGGTTTAGGGTTTTATAGGGTTTAGGGTTTAGGGTTTTATAGGGTTTTGGGGTTGTTTAAGGTTTAGGGTTGAGGGTTTAGGGTTTAGGATGTTAAGGACGTGATACTTTGCTTGGGCTTGTCAGTCTCGCACCTCAAAGTTGTTACGGCGCTAACACCTTCAGCAGCCAGCGACAGCAATGAGTCTTGTTCGGTTGCTCGGCTGCTCTTATCTGGTCCCTGTACTCACAGGACGACTACTAGTAGCGATTAGTAGCTGTTCCAAATCAGTTTCGAAATGGATAAGTTGGAAACCCCCCAGCAGACCAATGCTGTACTGAAAGCTCTCACTTGAAATTTATCATTGTGAAAAAATTGTGAGAATTGGAGGTGCGAAGTATGTAACCGTGGTGTTCTCCTGCAAACGAAATTAAGAGGTGCTCCGTGTGACGTTGGCGATGATGATGACAGCGGCTTCCATGCTGAGCATCGGCGCAGGGAGTTTTTAGAGCTGTGATGAGACCTGGTGCTATCGACTTGCTCCTTCTGCTAATATAGGGGCCTTAATACTTACCTATACTATTTTGGGGGGCTCCTTATTCTAATTATTGTAAAATATACCCCAAAACCCTATTCTAATTATGAAGGCCCCTACAGTAGCCTTTAGCTTCCGCTTCTGCTCCTGAGGCAAGGGAAGCCATCGTCCGCACCTATGAGGCCCGACCTTGAAACCCCCAAAAAAAGTGGCCAGAAACAGGAGGAAGCTAGAGAGGCATAATGGTTCGCAATATTTTTCGGGGCTTAGGGGTTCGGGTTTAGGGAGCGGTTTCGGGTTCAGGGTATAAGGTTGAGGGCATGTAAGCTTTGAGATTCAGGGTTGGGGTTTTGTGAGTTCACATGGCCGCTGTACTGTTGGCTGGAGTTCTTGCGGGCTATGGCTACTGGGCCGTCGGTCGCAGACCTTGGAACCCTTACACAAACCTTCGTAGACCCGGAGCTGCGCACGGAGGCCTACTTGGGGGATCATGGGACTTAGTAACTGGGGTTATGAATAAGGTAACTATAATTATAACCCCAATTGGGGTACTTATAACCTTACTTACTAAGTCCCATGATCCTCCAAGTACAGTCCCAGCCCTTAAACCATGCCGTATTTAGACCCACCGCCTGCTTGCCTGGTTTTTTCATGGATCCCGTAATTACACAGTACGCCAGATGAGTCGATCAATGGAAACTCTTAAACTCTCAACGTCAAACCCTAAACCCTTTGAGATATCAATGTCAAGATCCATCCGACTTTGTCAGGGTCGATGGCAGGAGGTGGCCGACCAGCAGTGTGGCTCCCCAGGACTCAAAAATGTTCAGAGTACGGCTCCTCAAGCAGTGCGACTTCGGATTGCAGAAGCAGGCTCCTACTGTAGTAGACGCCTCACTCGGGCTTTTTGGGTTTGGTCTGGTGAAACAGCATACTCCACATGCTGCCAATGCCCTGGAGCCATCCAAGCTCGGGTGCATGGCCGCCAACTTTTTACTAGGTTCCCCAGTAGTACCCTTTTGCCCTTTTTCTTTTTGGGTTCCCTTAACAAAACCAAATTAGGAAAGAGGGTGCCCCCATTATTTAGGGGCTACTGGGGAGCCTAGTGTCAGAATGGAAGTTGGACAAAGATTAACAGTTTGCCGCAGTGAAGCTTGAGAGTGAATGGTGCGAAGTAAACACTGCAGCTCAGGCTCCAAACGGTCTTCGTGAAGGAGACTCCTGACGAGCTCAAGAGGCTTTGGGGGTCTAGGGTTCAGGATTGTGTGTTTAGTGTTTGGGCGTGGCGGGATGGTTACATCATACTGGGCTTATAGCTATGCTCTTGTGCGATGCTTGTGTTATGTACTGTTTTTGCAATGCTATCAGTCGCAAAACTTCTCTGGTTTTTATGGTCCCAGGCATGTTCCGCAACTTCACCATCTTTGCGGTAGTAGTCTTGTCCTGGGTTGAGATGGGTCGGGCTTCAACCAGCGGTCGTTGAGGACCATCTTTAAAGCGAAACAGCGACCGCCTTGAGGTGATGCTGGCATTTGCTTTCATAGAAGGCTTCTGATGGTGAGGCTGTTGCATTACCTAGAAGCAAGGCGGAACCAAGAGGCAAGATAGCCCTGTTGGCTTCGAGCGGCTTCCGGAAGGATGTGCGTGAGGTTGCAAAGTGATCTTGTCATCATGCCGGTCCCGATACTGCGGTTGCCAAACCTGGCATGTCTGTTGTTACACCGCTTATGCGCATGCCATAAGACCACTTCAACGTCTTTGCTGCAAGGCAGCACTTCTGATGAAGCTGGGCGGTGGAAGGGCGCAGCATACAAGGTTTGCTGGCATAGGAAGGGTACTCATATCAATGCCCTTGAGAGCTTTGTCTCAACGCCCTTCGTTCCGGTGTCCTTCAATGGTCTGACTTTGACAGGTTGACCAACATGATCTCCATCCCAAAGGAGCTCTTCGATGACGGCAGCTGCCTTGAGTTGGGTTTAAGGCCATTGGGTTTAGGATTTGCGGTTCATGGCTGGGATTAGGATCTGTTCGCAAAACGTTTCTCACGACGCTCCAGACCCTGGGCTGTAGGAACGCAGAACAGGAACCACAGAAAAGAGGGGCTGCTATGCACGACTGTCCGTTGGACTAATTTTGGGCCATCCAGTCTTCCATGCTCTGCGAGTTGATAATATTACTCTTGGGTAGCAACTGCTGGCATGTGCGCAGTGGTCATCATAAGAAGATGGACAATCATGGCAACGACATGCGGAAGGAGAGTATATCGGTAGCAACAGTTGCAGTTTTAGTGCGAAGCCGAATGATTTAAACAAGTAGCAAACAGCAAAACGATGGATACACATGCCAAAAGCAGAAAGATAATTCCTTCGAGCCCTCTGGGCAGAAACTTGCCTGTGATCTTTAAAGCAGATTGAGAGCAAAGGTCCCGAGCCACCCGAGCTTTCCGGGACCTCAGGCCAGGATGAGGGTTTAGTCGTTTAGGGTTTAGCGGTTTAGGGTTTAGTAATTTAGGGTTTTGGGTTCAGAGTTTAGTAATTTGGGATTTGGGATTTGGGGTTTAGGGGTTTAGAGTTTAGTAATTTAGGGTTTAGGGTTGTGGGAAAAGTGGGCGTTAAGTTTGCAGTTTGCAGCCTTGGGGGGTTGTCCGGAGCTTCCGGGTACTCAACGGATCCAAGTTTCGGAGTTCGAGTCCTCCCCGACCAGGCCAATGACCAACCCTTCCACCACACAGGGTTTCCGTGGAAGGCACTCGGCTACTGGTAGAGCGTTGGCAGTAGTAGCAGCTACTGTAGGGCGTTAAAAATTACCTATACTATTTGGGGCTTATGGTATGCCCCAAAACCTGTTCTAATCATTAAGGCCCCTATATTAGAGGTTCGTAGGTCGGCTTTATGGCTTCGGACTCGAAGGTTGCCAAAGTTTGGTGCGCAATATACACACGATCCGTCTTGCTGCAAATTGCACTTCCATGCATCTCTGGCAGTTCGTGGCTGCTGATCAGAATGGGTACCACAAGCAGTCCTTTAATTTAGAACAGCCCGCAGCTGAGAACCAATTTTGAAAAATGAGTGTTTTTGTGGCAGTTCGAACAGAGACCCTGCAGGCAGAGCAAGTGTTGGTAGCAGCGAAATATCATGAAAATATGTCCACAGTTCTGAAGTCCCTTCGGCATTGCTTTCGTGATCTCCAAATCCGGGTATTCTGCCGGAGCATCCTGGACAGCACCCAAAATGCTCGAGTGCAGCGTCGAATCCCTAAACCCTAAACCCTAAGAATCCGCAGTCTTGTCAGATGCAGTCGCCGCGGCTCAGTCAAGCTCCGTGGCGTCAGCGGAAAGTGCAGCCTGGGAGGTGCGACGGTGAAGTCTAATGGTTTTAGGTTTAGGGTTTAGGGTTTGGTCATTTAGGATTTAAGGTTTAAAATTTAGGGTTGAGTAATTTAGGGTTTAGTAATTTGTTGTTTAGGGTTTAGTAATTTAGGGTTTAGCGATTTAGGGTTCAGTAATTTAGAGTTTAGGGTTTAGGGAGGTTCAGGGTTCGGGGCGTCGGCTTAGGGTCCAAGAGTTGATTGTTGTTGGGAGCATCAAGAAAACTGTACTTCCCAGAGAGCCCAACACCCCTTAAATAAGGAATATACCTTAAATTATAGGGGCCTCAAGTTAATTAACGGGTATTGGGCTCTCTGGGTTCGTCAGGGCGACGAGCGATTGCAGGAATGGACTAATGGACGAGGGTCAAGAGTCACAGTATGAGATCGAAGATGCATCGTTGGACTTTCGGTAAGGGCAGTGCAGACCTTGAAGACCAGATCATCACACGCTTAGTTCGCAGTTTTTGGTTGGCAGGCAAGGGTGACAGAATTGGATATGGTGTTTGACTCGCGGGAGATTGCGGGGTTCAGAATCTCCCCTAGATCTTTCGACCAAATAGGCCGCACACGAGCCTGAAAAGTTGCCAGAAGTTTTGAAATCCTTGCAGGGTTGTTGTCGCCGGAGCACAACACATCTCAAACCCAAGCCTAGCCTTGCTGGTGCCAGGCCGTCACAAAGCTGGCCCTCGTTCGCTCTACAGCATCTTTTTTCGCGGCAGCCAAATCGGAGGATGCACCACTCGATGAGGGCCACATGCTCAGAGTGGACATGAGATGGCATGAGCCCTGTCGACATATTGTGGATCTTAGGGTTCCTACCCAAGCTTCTTGTAACAGCATGCACTATTAGGCTATGTACCGTGCCGGAACCTAAGTTGGACGGGGCGAGAAGGATCATCGCGGAGATATGGATAACTGGAAGCGCGAGACCAGCGCTAGACGTGAACCACTTGCATGCGATCGGTTGGAGCCTCCAACAGTGGTGATCGGTGCTATTCATCCTACCACGGAAGATACGAACATACAATGCCCAAAAATCTTAGTGTGTTTCTCTTGTCGTCCAGCAAACGATCGCAAAAGGGGAGCCGACATGGATCAACTTCGCCCGAGTTCTGCAACACCCAAGCCCTTCTTGGAGGTTCATGGGTAGTTATAAGTGGGGTTATAAGTAGGGTAACTATAATTATAACCCATATTAAGGGACTCATAACTCCACTTATAACTACACATGAACCTCCAAGTTTCATCCCTTGCTCTCAGTCCTGGTCCTCTCCGCGCCAGCTCAGCCCGTACCTGGCTCAGAATCTTGTTTTTGGGCCGCTCCAAACCCTAAACCGTAAAACCCTAAACAACAGCATGATGATTCTAATGCGGTGTGGACCCTACCAGCCTTGTTGGAGGGACCAGGAAGGTTCCTCCTGAAGTTCGCCGGGAATGCTCTTGCTGCACATCCCGGAACTCCTGCAATCATGCACCCTACGCATTACAGGCCAACGACCCCTCGCAGATGCGCGCATCTGAAATCAAGCTCTGCCAGGACACTGAGACCCTTCGATTCTAGACACTTAGCTACGATGGATGCAGATACAAAAACATCCTGCAAACCGCTGCAGAATTGAGTCTTTGCATCACCCCGGTAGCCTAAATCCCACACCTTGAAGCCCATGTCACAAACCTTGCAACCTACATCCTCATCTCCTAACTCTGCTCTTGAACTTAAACCCTCTGCCCCTGAGAACCCTCTCGCCCAGACACGGCGAACCGAAACCGCCCAGACCGCGAAAACCGAACCCCCAACGGCAAGAGCCCTCACCCGGGCCGTAAAAAAAGCCTAAACCCCAAAAGCCCCAACCCCATCCAGAACAAATCACACCCACATCCCAATTCGCCCTTGACATAACTAAACCCTAAACCCTGAACCCCTAAACCCTTTTTTAAAAAAAGAACCTAAACCCTAAAATGTTCAACTCTCGCCCAGACTCCTGGCCCTGGCGGCCGGCTGAAGTTGGAGATCACGCGCTCGCGAAAGGGCGCCTGCCTTGGACGTCTCGGGTTGTTGAACTCAGGGGGTAAGCTTCCTTGGGAAGTGGTTTATAAATAATGTATAAAGATCCACCTGTTCCCGTTTTAAAGGGTTTTAGAGGATGTTGTAGGATTGCCTGTTTTTGTTCACGAACTTCATTATGGCCCGCTAGTAGTGCAAGTTTCTTACAACACGTGTTCTTAGTATTGTGTTAAGATTGGGTCGTGGCATATGTTGTCATTGTGCTCCACCAACCCATAGAAGCGCTTGTAGGGTTTGATGTTGCGGTATTGTTGAATTTAGTTTTTTTGTGCTCGTCGTGCTAGAGCCGTGAAGAAACTACAGTAGTGTTGATGGCTACGCCTGTACTGAGAACTTCCTGAGAGTTCAAGTGCTACGTAGTTCGTTGGAGGCATCATCGGCTTCATCTGACGCCTCGAGTTGGTCGATCATTCAGGCTTAGGAGCCCAGTAGGTAAACTTTAAACTTTCTGGTATATTAAACCCCCTACTAAAAGAAAAGTTTAAACTTTTTTGGGCCAGGGTACTGGGCTTCAAGGCAGGGTTGAGACGGGGTAAACTCTCAAATTCGGTTTGGGAGGGTGGCGGAGAAGTTCCGTTATTCAGAGTTCACCTGATACAAGCGGCGCTGTGTACATGTGGATAAAAAGTAGCAGCAGCTGCAGCATAGTCGCAGTATGTACTATATACGCTACAGGAAATTTCCGAAATGAAGGAGCAGCAAAGGGCAAAACCGCCTGTAGTTGCGACTACAAACCCTAAGCCCTGCTCTATAACAGCCAGGGCAGCTTGGCAGAACCGGCGACAAGTCAAGGTCGGCATTGCGGTTTGGGCTTGTCCCGGTTTAGAACGGAAGCCACAGGGGTAAGGATTCAAGGATGCAGGGCTCAGGGTTCAGTGTATGTCTATAAGGAGTAGTCACTTACCAGCTGGCACTTCAAAGTCATGCTCCTCAAGCCAGCCCGGAATCGGTCCGTAAAAGTGACCGCAGCAGTTCAAGAACTTCGCTATTGGCAATGAAACCCCTAAGCCAAAACCCATCCACCCTCAGCTTTAAGCAGCTGGATCCTGAAGCATGAAAGCCCTTCGCAAGGGCGTTTAGGTGAACAGGGCATTTCTCAGCTCGGCATTGCGAGATTGGAGATTGCTCTGTTTAGATCATAGTAACCAGCAGGTCTCCAAGTAAGTGAACTGCAAATTACAAACCTTCGGGTCAAAGATGGGCTCGGGTGCGATGTTCCAGAAAAGGTTTCAATCGCTTCTGGTTTGAGGCCAAGACCTCCGCAGCTCCTCTACCCCAGACCCTGCACTCTGCATCCCTTCACCCAGACCGCACTGAAAGGCCTGTCCAGGCCCCCAAGACCAATTAAACACCATAAAGCCTCGAACCCCGAATCTCCGAAATCTTAAATTCCAAAACATGCACGCAGGAGCGGTGCCGCTGCCGATGCCAACCTCCTTGCAAGGCGGGCAGAGTCCGGCGGCGAGGACCGGCGGGAGCGTAGCCAGCGTTCAACTCGTCTCCGAGATGATGGGGTTAGGGTTCCGGGAGGTACGGTACTGCTATTGTTGAGAAAGAACTGTTGTTGTCATCGGTGGTAGAGAAGGTTTGCAGAATGGCATGCGTACGGGTCGGTTACGAGCACCACCGCTGCAGTATTGCAGCGCGATCAGGTTGCTGAATCACACATTGCGGCACTTAGGACTTCCTCTTGGCTGTGGCTGCAGATGGTGTTCCAGCTGACAAGGCCTGTCGTGGGACTTTGCGGCAAGATCACGACCACACCATATCAATCTTACACTGGGAAGACATGCCTTCAAACACATGGACGTTCTACGTCTTCAGAATCAGATCGGTAAACGCCCAAGCGTTCTCTCTCAAGATGCTATTTTTGTCAAGATGTCTGCGGTTCCAGTCAATAGGCAAACGTAACGGTCACTATCCATCTGTGCACGTGTCAGTCATTGCCCGTTGTTGAGGGCGAATGTTCCTGATGTTTTACAAGTCAAGCTCCACGCACTTCGGAGATGTTGGGTTGCAGTTTATTCGCCGAAGATTGCATCACACGGCACGAGACCTCCGCTGAGCCTGGTTCTCCCGATGCTAGCAAGCCCACTCGCCAGCCCAAGTCACGACTGCACCTCGACCAATCTTGGAAGAGTTAGTCTCCTCTAGAAGAAAGCCGATCTCTTTTGGGAAGGTTCAAAGCGTTCCCTTCGTTTCCCAGAAGGGAGCTTCCAGGCCAGAACCCTTGGGAGGGTTAATTCAGCGTTCCGAGGTGTAAACTAACCTGCACTGCATGTGTGCCGCGGATAGTGGCTTCTAGGGCTCCGGCTCGGCGTTTAGTGGGCCGGGGTTTTGGATGTCCTCCGTCTTGGTACTATGATGACTCCAGTATTGCTACTGTTAGCTTTGGTATGAGTCGTTCAATTAGTAGTAGTAGTAGTAGTAGT